ACTCAATGGGGCCAAACTGCTATGGGTATCCAAGAATATCTCTGAATTCCGTGGTTAGGTTGTCTTCTTATCAGGAAATAATGTTTCTTTTCCTCTGTACCCCACAGCGTACCGTGAGAATGACAGCGCTACATCCCAACTTGATCATACTGCCAACAAAATGTCTACCTCATTTAAAGGGATTAATAAAAGCCAAATATGACCCATTCATAAACTCAAACACCTATTGGAATGGATCCCAGACCTTTCTCACACCCACAGTTAAGTCCAGCACAGGAAACACTGCCAATCTGATTGCCTGGCTTGAGCCACTGTGGTCGCTGTTGAGCACGTTCACAGCAGGCTTTGACCTACCTGCTGCACGTGCGCCATGTGGTTGGGGTTGTAGCCATGCTGGACCTGCTGTGGGTGGATATACACAGCCTGCTGAGCAGAAGGGAAAGATGCCTGTGGGGACTGAGGGTTTGGCCCTGGGGTCATCAAAGGTGGCGTGGGTGCCAAGGCCGAATACATCTGCTGCTGTGGAGGCTGGTTAGCCAGGTGGAGGGCCTGGGCTGCTGCTGCTGCTGCTGCTACAACAAAAATCATAAACACATGTATACATTACCATAATGCTCCACTTGAAAAAAATCCAGCTCCATGGGGGGAGGGGGTAATTACTACCGCCAACCTTAGGGCACTCACCTGCTGCTGCCTGTGGGTGCTGTGGGTGCTGGACTGGGCTGGCAGCTGGATGGCTAGGAGGGCCTCCATGTTGTGGTCCACCCTGCTGTGCCTGGCCTGTAGGTGTGGCAGAGGGCTGAGGGTGCTGCGGGTGAGGGTGCAAGGTGGCACTAGGGTGGGGGTACTGCTGAGGCATTGGCCCTGGAGACACTGAAACAGCAGTCGGCGTTAGTAATAGTGAAAAGCATTAAAAATCACACCCCGTGCATTGGCCGCACACGTACCATACATGGTGTGTGTCTGCTCTGGGTACTGTGTAGTAGAGGAAGAGACGAGACTGGGCTGGCCATGCGTGGGAGGCGCCATCATCCTGGCACTGCCCTGCATCACTGGACTGAACACATGCTGTGCCTGAAAGAGGCAAAAAGGAAGCCAAAAAACTGAGGAAAGCCTCTATCAACTCCTGCCGTCACAGTTTTGGTAACTGAGTGCCAATTTACAGAGCCAACATTTGTTCAGAGGCTGCACATGAAATATGGACATAAACACTTTTTTGTGCTTCTGATGCATCTGTTCAGAGAAAGGAAGCTTATTTCTTTCTTGGTTTATACTTTTTTGTAATCATTAGTTAGCCGACTTGCATTTCTTAACACCAGCTCAATTTGTAAGCGCTGTGATGAAACTGAAAGAGAAAAAAAAATGGCTTCTATGGTCTCACTCTGTGGTTCTGGCATATCACATGAACTGTGGTCTGATAAAATCTACAGTAATGCATTCTATGTTCATAGGTTGCATAAAAGATTCTCACAAGCTGTCATTTAAAGAGCCTGTGTGTGAGATCATGTTTGTCTGTCTCATCCCAAAGCTGGCCATCTTCACTCAATTTAATTGGCACTGACGATCAAAGTGACATAAGGTTCATTATTTTTGGGGCATCAGTGATTATGTGCGTACGATGTGTGTTCGATATGTCCTGAAAAATGCTTCCTTAAAGAATTATGTATTTAAGAGGCCAAATCCTTTCATGACTGTGTTAAAGAAAAAGGCAACATTCATGAGGTTTAACTTATTTTCTTACATTTATTTACCTATTTTACATTTCACAACTTAACAGTCATTGTGGTATTGGCATCAAGCCTCAGATATCTTTTTGTCAATACCATCTACTATTCATTAGTAATCAACATAAAAAAATATAAATGTGTGCTTTGAGTAGGCTCTGCTCCAAAAAGTGCTTGAGCCTAGCTGTTTGTATTACTGAGGATTTTCCAGGATTTTTTAAGTCACTGCAGTAAAAGCTGCAGTTTTTCCAATGACAGCCTGTAGCAAACAGGTAGTAACTCTTCAGGTATAAGAAGCAGGAGTACACTTTGAGCTCAATAAATCAGAGGTGATAAAAAAAAACAAAAACAAAAAAAACTGGCATGACATTGGCACCCCATCAAACTGCTAAAGACCACCAGCATCTGTCAGCCAAATCACCGACAAGTGAACAGCTGCGGGAGATAAAAACTGCCAGTTCTAATTGATGGTACCAGAGAAACTTTAATGGTTACATACGAGTCTTAATAGACGAGCCTGTTCAATCTATCCTTCCTCAATGAGCTGCTAAAGGCTGTATAGTTGTGATACTGCTGGTGCCAGAGTAAATCATACCTGTGACTGGTAGTGAGGCATCTGCTGGACGAGCTGCTGACTGGTGAACTGCTGTGGGCTGCAGGTGAAGTACTGCGCTGAGTAAGCCGGGCTCGGTGCTACAATCGGTGGCCCTGCTGCTGTGGCTGGGTGCATCATGGTGGGTGTGCCTGGCGGATGGTGCTGGTCTGACCTCTGCTGGGGCATGTTAGGTACTAGAGATTTATGTTAAGAGATGGGCAAGATGGAGAATAAGTTCAACATCCCATATCATACATATATATACCAACTCTAGAGGCTTTGGTGAGAGAGAAGGGTCATTGGCTATGAAAGACACTAGTAAAGTCTATATGTGAGGGGGAGAAGAAAAAAAAACACAAGCAACTGATCATATTATGAGCCATATTTAAACTTACTGAAAGATAATAAAGATTGGCCAGATCAGAAATTAAAAACAAAATCCTGAAGCCTCTCTCTTGTAAAAGCAAACTACAAAAATACTTGCACAACAGCATTTCTGTACTTGCGTAATAATTGCAGGTCGGTAAGCGTGTGTGGTAAAACAACATATACAGCATCAGTGGTTTTTGGTGTCCCGCGTAGTGAGAAGAATATACAACATTCTTTAAATGATTGTATAGCGATTGCTGTTGTTGCACGTTTGATTTTGTGTGGGCAAAGCAGCTCAATCCCCCACATGAATAATCAACGTAATTAATCAACCAATCCATCACACTTCATGTAAGACTGGGGAATTATTTTCAGCCTTCATTATTCTCAGCTCCTCATCATGATATTGAGTGACTGGTAATATTTCAGATTGCAGGCTCCTGCGTGGTGTGCTTCTGCAGGAAGCCCTCTCTTTGTTTTTTACCCCATTAGGAATTTATTTACTCCACCAACAAGACATTTTAATTCAACCGTTTTGTAAAAAAATGCCACAACAATGCCACATTGTAAACAATGTTTGGGCTGACTCTGAAAACAAGCTTATTATCACATACTGTCCAAATAGCTGGTTAAAAATATTTATGTATTCACATGGTTTGTAAATATTGTTCACCAAGTTGAAAAAAAGATTATGTGGGAGGGAAATGAGAGAAAGAAAGCGGTGGTTATTCTCACCTTTACCTGGTCTGTAGGGTTTAGATTGGCTCACTGTCATAGGCATCTGAACCTGGTACATGGGAGACTGGAGAGAGGTGAGGAACGAGGAAAGGTAGGGAAAAACAAAAAACAAAAAACATGTTTATACTCAATTTTCTGTGAGATTTCCAACAAGATTATAAAACAGACAGTCTGAGGATAAACATGGGTGCATCTATGCTCATTTGTCTGGGAACCTTAATAACAATCTGGCTGCAGATAAACTTTTCATCTTCTTTTTGTCTAACACAAACAGCTTACTAGAATGTAAGAGCTTGTGGGAGTCATCGCTTACCTGGGGCCACATGCACTTTCTACACCTGACTATCATGAGCCAAAAAGGTGTTTTTACAGCATTCATAATACTGTTTTTTCAGTTCCTGAACTCATTAACATTGTCCACCATGCATTTGTGTTACAAACACCCCTTCAGCAAAAACAAGCTAGCTTAAACTCATTTTAGCTTGCAGCCATTTGTTTGGAAAACAGATGGAACAAAGGGAAATGAGCACAGTTTTAAGTCCATCTGAAGAATTGCAATAAGAAGTTGGCAAACCAACACCTGATGATATTAATTCAACAAGCAAGCAAAACATCCCAGTACTTATTGGGCTTAAAAAATAAAATAAAAATAATACAAAAAAAAGTTTTTAAAAATAGAAATCTTAGAAAAATTCACAAACCTTCCATATTATGCTTTTCTAATGGAGCGAGAGAGAGAGAGGGGAGGAGGAGGGGGAGAAAAGGGAAGAAGAACCACTTTTTAGTTGTTATCGTTTGCACGTGTCTGATGTTGGATCACCAAGTTTTTCTTAAAGCAACATAAGAAATGTATTGATCACAGCTACATATACGCAACATCAAAATTATATCTATACTAAACTTCTAAAAAAAAAAAAAAGCTTTGACTAAACATTTCTAAGCTTGTTATGCAAATAATCACAAAAACATTTCTCAGTTCATTCTGTAAGAAAACCATGTAACTAACACCTTCTCAAAAGAAGACAGGGAACAACATGTCATGGGGAGGGGGACCTTTTTCCCCCCCAATGCTTCTTCTGCTACATGGAGGGAAAAAGTTTACAATGAAACAAATGACAACAAATGTGAGCTTTGTCCTTAAAAACATAAAATACACTGAGAAAATAATGATGGCAGGCATGAATCAAAGAAAAGGAAAGAAAATTACCACATGAGGACAAACATAGACATGTTAGTCACTGTTGTTAGGGGTTGGTCTGAATGAACCCTGCATTTCATACCAACACAGTGTGATGCTCTGGGTGATTTGCACTGAATAAAAATGAATATCTCCATAATGTACATTTCAGTATGCAGGTGTGTATCTCACCTGAACTCCAGGGCTGACTGGCGTCAGCGGATACATCTGGGGGAAACAGACTGTCTGGCCATAAACAGTTGGAGGTTGCTGGACCACGATGGAGGGGCTGGGCTGGCCTTGAGGCCGGGGAGGCGTTGGGGTGTTGGCTGGTTTGGGCTGAGGGAAAATACAAAGAAAAACAAAAGCATATAGAGACATAAATAAATTAAATACCAGACCTAGTTTTTGGTTTCCAAATGTTTTAAGCTTGGCAGAAGTGGGTTATAACCTACCTGTGTATTAAACCTGGGTTTGAACTCATTAGCATTTGGGTTCAGGGTTGATTTTCTCACTTGACTGCAGAGAGAGAACAAATAGAGAAAAGGAATGAAAAGGAAGAATTTGTTTCTGAAGCTACTTAAACTTCATTAAATTGTGTTTCTTTAAATTAATAAATATTTATCATTAAATAATTTGTTGTTGGTTTTGGACAGTAATAAATCCCTACTGTGCATTATAGTAAACTGACTACAGACCACACAAAATGCAATAAAGTCATTTTTGGTTTTCTCGTGGAATGGGTCTCCTGTCCACTCACTCCTGCACTGCTTCTTTTTTCTCCTCCTTCTCTTCATGCTTGGGTCCGCTGAACGTTGAGGTGGCCGTCGTCTGAACTCCCTGTGATGTCACATCAAGCCCTGGCCTCTTCTGGTCAGTAGCAGAGGGAGACTGAGACATTGCAGCGGGGCTGCCAGGCTTACTGGTGCTTGTGGTGGTAGTCGGTGGAGCATGGGTACCACTAGGTGTGCCAGCAGCAATTACTACAACACCATCTTCAGTGGCCTCCCTCCCCACTGTGGAGGCTTTGTCCAGGGGAAGATCTTTAGGTTTGTCTGCAGGGTCTCTAGCAGACTTGGTCATCACTGGTTCACAGGGAGGGTCTGGGTTGGAACTAGACTGCAACTGGCAGAGGGACAGAGGAAAGATGAGTGGAAGAGGGGCACAACCTCTGCTAAAGCCTCACAAACATGAGATGAGATCAGTCATATCTTAGCAATTTGTATGTCATATAAATTCAAGATATACTTACCCTAAAATCTACACTAAATTTCTTTAAATTATCTATTTGTTTTCTGTGGTCTGATGGTATAGAAGGCGGTCCTGCAAAGTGAATGGAGAGAAATAAATGCAGATTCTTGAAATATCAATTTTTAAAAGACATTGTTACATTACGACTACTAAAGAAAGGAACAGATGAGAAACCCTCGTACTCATGTTTAAAATTGTATTGCTTCTCAACATTCTGAGGTTAAAAAGAACAAGTTAATGCAAATTTCTAGTGTTTACCAACCTTTACAAACTTGTCTTGTAAAACTAGGTGAACTTTCCAAAGGCTTGATGTTCTCCTTGTTTGTAGGAGATGTTTGTCTAGTCTCCTGGGCACGACATTCTTTTGCTAAACATACAAAAAAAAAAAAAAGAACGTTTACTTACTCCCATCAAAATGATTTAATGATAGCTTTTTCTGATTGTAGCACTTATTTATTCATTATAAAAACCAACAGACGTGTTTTCATATCACTATTCATACTCAGTCCTTTGTTAAACTTCAGCTTACCATCTCCTGATGAAGAAGTGACTATGCTGGGGGCAGGGCTAGCTGCAGTAGGAGAGGAAGCTGATGTTGGAGTAGTAACAGTTTCCACAGGAGCTGTACCTGTCTGAGGTGATGGGAGGGAAGAGGAGCCAGCTGAAGCTCCACCCATACTATTCTGTCGGGGGGAGCGAGGTCTGTGAGCTGAGAAGGGGAGAAGAATTTGGTGTTCACAACACATTCAGGTTAAATAACAAACAATAACAGGTGCTTTGAAATATGCCCTCCAGTGGCATTAAACTAAAATCTCTGCAAAGGGAGAAAAATACTGGACTAGTAGGTTCACCATTGGGATGCATTTAAAAATCCTATGTTGCCTTGTTCTCAAGTTACATTGCATTCACAAGCTTTGGTGTCCACACTACCTGCCCACCCAGCAGGGTGACAATATCCCATCAGCCTTTTATGGCTGAGGGGTACAAACTATTCAGATTAATAGTCTACCTCCGCTAACCACTGAGGACCATGTCCCTCCAGAGGAAGAGCTGCTCCTGGTTTGTGGAGTCACTATGGACTCTCCAGGGGGATTATGGGAAATTAAGTCCACTCCTTGGGGTACTCCACTGGTCCGACAGGGTGGCACTCTGTGAGCACGAGGCGTCCGCTGAGATTTTGGAGACATCCTTGGTGGACCTAGAGATGTATAAAGACAGAGGCAAATGGATAGAAGCTGGTAAACACACAGTGACAGCAAAGTGAACATGTGTTTCCTAGCATCCCTCTGTTAATTGTTTTTTAACTCACCAGTGCCTCACAAAAACTTTCAAAAACTCAAGTCTACATGCTGATAAATATCACACCAAACAGTAAGGTTATTTGTTGCATGCATGCTAGTGGAGAAATTACAGATGATCCTGTAAAGTGATCAAACACCACATCACAACCAAGCAAAGTGAGAGATGAGAAATGGGAACGCAAAGGCCAAAAAGTGAGATGAACAGTGGCCTACAGTAACAGCATATTAAAAAAAAATAATGAGAGGCCAAACACTAGTTAACAATTTTTCTATTCAAGTAAAAATAATTGACGTCAAGAGATTAAGCCTCACTACCAGTTTTTTGGGGGCTTTTTTTGGAGGGACTCTGGAAATTGACGGATCACATTTCGGGTCAACAGTTCGTATCCCAATGGAGTGGAATACAGAGAAGACTTTTAAAAACCGCATGTGAAACTTAACTGGTATTACAACCACTTATCAAATTTGTCAATTCAAATATCTCTGAGCATCTTTCTCATGCCTCCAACATCAAGCCTTTTTTTTTTTTTTTTTTAATTAGAATATCATCGTGCACCTTCTTTTGAATGATCTACCAGAGAAGTTGATAAATTGGTGCCTTAAGTGTTACCACACCCAAAGCATGGCACACATTGGTGCACCCACATGCCAAGGTGAAACTGCCTGATGCACTGACAGAGAATCAGAGTTTTTCAAATCTGATCCCAACTCAGTCTGACCAAGCAATTTCTCCTATTTCTGCTGTTCCACACTAGACCTGGGCAAACTTATTTTTCAAATAAAACTGATCGCCATCAACTTTGAAATATTTCACATTTCTTTGTGACTTAAATCCCTCCACCTTCAACTCGTGTTTTTTGCCCAGGTCTACTCCACAGAGATGTGGGTACCTTCTGAAGACATGCGTTTGGCCAGAGCGGAGGCTGGCGATGTGGGCCCATGGTGGGAAAGGGAGGATGAAGAGGAGGGATAAGAGAGGTGGGATGAATGAGAGGAAGGTCTGGAAGGTCGAGAGGGGGGCCTGGAAGGTGGCCTGGTGGGCGTGGTTGCCCGATGAGGCAGGGAGGAGGGACCGGACTGGTAACGAGAAGGGGGACGGGAGGAAGGAGATGGACAGGGTGAGGGCCAATGGGATGAACCTAAAAGAGGCAAGGACAAATGATCAAGGATGACACAAGCTATAGTGCAGGGGAAACAAAGGTATAGTGGGGACAGAAAGAAGAGAGAAATTTAATTTTAAAAAAAAAATGACAAGGGATGGGGAAACAGGAAAAAAATTGCTTAAATAAAAATAAACTAACAAGATAACACAAGAATAACCCAAACACTTTGCCACTGCAAAAGAACTTATTTCGAGTCGTGGTTTGATCACAACAGTGACTCACTCATCCACTCCTTTACTCTCACAAAGACTGTGTTTGATTTGCAGCAAGTAACAGCAGATTTGTAGGTGACATATTAAATATACCTCCATTAACCACCCTCTGGTCGGATCCAGAACTGGGACTGTAGTCGTGGGGTCCTGGTCGAGGAGTGGGGGGTCCAGCTGAGCTCTGACCAAGACGAGGTGAATTCTGACGTCCTGGCCCCCATGACATTGCCTCCCTGTTTCTCTGACCAGGAGGAATGTACTTGTTCTCTCTACAAACATACAAACAGACTTAACTCAGCTAAACATATACACAAGGCAATAATAAAGATGAGCAATTAATTCTATACTTTATTCCATTCCAGTAAGTGGTCATTAGCTAAAATGAGCTTATTTTTTAATTTTAATTACCAGTTATAGGAAGTATTTGTTATAGGAACATTTGCTGTCTACTTGTCTAGTAGGCTTAAATATTCCTCCCAAAGAACAGGAAAAGGGGCAATAGAGTTCTACATGCAGCACAAGAAGCATTAGAAAAAAACCGACAGAAAACAAACTCCACAAAGATTTTTTTTTTAAAAAGGCACTAACAGCAGTAGTAGTAGGCCCTGTTCAAAATTTTTAACACTCAGCTTAGAAGTTCTTTGTGTATTATGACTTTGTGTTCTTCACTGCCAGTGCAAAGCCAAATGAGCAAGAGAAGCATAAACTAAAGCAACAGTTTTATTTCAGTGCCCCCTGGTGACAGCACACAGCTACAACACAGATGATTGTATGCAAAGCTCAGCAGTATCCTTTTCCAGCTCCTCTTAAATTCTTATAACAATAAATTGTGAATAATGCGAGTTCTAACAACTCCACAGAATGCATCAAGAGGCAATAAAAATTGAAAATCGTTCAAATATGTTTACGAACACAATTACATTTACATAATTGCAAAGTGTACACAAAACGTATTCACAGAAACACGTAGTATTTTTGTAAAAACTCATATCCTGGCACCACCTGCCAAGTGTGTGAGTCTCCCTTTCCCCTCGCACAACAGCAGTGAATTTCTCCTCGTCAGTCCGTTCATCATTCTCCAGAGCAACGCGGGCCTTGTACGTGGCACTAGCCTCGATCTCCTCTGCCAGCTGGGCAGCACGCGCCTCCCTCTTCAAGAACTCTTCTGAGTTGTCCCTCTCTAAAGGTACCCTGGGAAATAAATTCAGGTTAGACAAGGAGTAACATGGGACAGCATGGTTCTAAGTCTTTAATTTTATAATAAAACCAGATTAAAGAGTGAACGTTTGTTTACTGTCAGAGATTCAAAATTAAACATCTAGTATGACAAGTATACAAACAAATACATGGAGAACATGAAGAAGCTTACGTATATGTGGACAGGCTGCTGTCATATGTGGACAAGACTCCATATTTCTCCTCATTGTACTTGAACATGTCATTGGGATCCCACCCATTAGACTGATGTGAAAACAGTAGCAGAGACAGAATTTGACAATCAGCATGTGAACAAATTTAAATGCTCTGGATCACATGAAACAAACTCTTTGTTTCGGTTGAATATATAGCAAGTTTAGCACCAGCCTGTTTCTGGTGTCTGATACTTTTCTCACCACATCAGTATCCAGAGACTCGAGGCTATCGGAGTTGTGGGTCTCTCCTCCATCCCAGGGCTCAAGATCTTTTTCTTTATGCTCGCCATTGATCCGGCCAGTCACTGCTGCATCTGTGAAGTTGTCTGAAACATGAAGAAAAGAATGTATATATTTATGTACTGCATGATACCACACACACGCATGCACGCACGCAGGCTCCACTCTCACTGCTTAGAAAACAAAGTGCTCATCATGCTTCAAGAGCCTCTGAGAGAGTTCTTACAGCAAACGTCTATATGGAGAGTTTGACGGTTCAGAAAGACACACCGAGTTACATCCAAACACAGGTTCAACAGGATTTTGTGGGGGGGCGGGGGAAGGGGGCTTCCTTTACAAAAAAAAAAGAAAAAAAAAAAAAGCAATTTTCTTGAGCTAGCATTGGTGAGTCTGGAAGTGTGGGCAAGACTTGTGAATAAAGGGAGAGTCCTGAATCACTGTCAGAGTATGTAGCATAATGTCTCTAGGTGCTACAGTATTTTCAGATGGCTAACTTTTATCAGAAATTAAATCCAGCTACGAGCAGTGTCTACAATGCTTGACTTGCACCCTATTTATTAAGAATCACCATAGCAACATCTTGAAAGGGAGCACATTAATTAAACAATTTACTTTGGGCTAATTGCGGTTTCAGGATGTTCATTATTTTTATGTAAATGTATGGAATACATTGACTCAACAAAGTCATAAACAGACAGATCTGCTCAAAGAAAACCCCCAATTATAACTGAATTGAAATTCTAATCTCATGTTAGCCCAAGTCTGCTCTCACATTTGCAGATCTGGCACCAGTGAACTATGTGCTCAAAGCGTACCAGCCACCTGGAGTTGCTTATCTCACACATCATAACTCATTTCACAATGCAAAAGGCATTTAAGCGTTTCAGGCACAGAGCAAGTTCAGAAACATTAGACTGACACCATACGGGCAGTTGGGCCAATAGACCTGGTTTATATTTCCAGTGTTTGCTGGCATGCTTTGTGCACACTGTCCACCAAAGGAATTATACAAAGTAAGAAAAATTTTAAAATCAAACGTGAGAATAGTGAGAGGTAAGCAAACATGCATTTAGACTGCAGTTAATTACATGACCTCAAAGCATTTCAGTGCCAAACAAAATTAAACTTCTCCTAATAACCTTTTAAAAACAATGCTCAGAAAACAAATGATGTAAGAGAGCCCAATATGACTTTTGAATCAGTTGCTTTCAATGGAATCACATTAATGTTGCTGATAATCTACCATTTAAGTGTGACATGACTCGAGCAAGGCCAAGAAAGGTTTAAAAAAACAAACAAACTGATGTTTAGGAAAAATCCTATAAAAGATAAACTAAACAAAAGCAATAAACATTACCTTCTTCTTATACAAGTCACTGCTTCATCATTGCCACTTCTTGTTGTTTATTTCCCCCCCATCCTATTTTCTCTGGTTTTTACAATTTCTCTGATTTTTTATTTTATTTTAATACAAAGCACTTTGTAACCTTATTAACACAAATAGAGTTTATATTAGTATAAAAGAAATTACCCAAATGTATCCCATAGGCTTTATCAAAAGTTAAAACTGGATAATATTTAAAGACTCCAAAAATGAGCTTGAATGATTTTGAGGGAATAATTCTTCCACCGAAAGCAACATGCAGTCTGAAGACGCAGTAAAAATATAAAGCAACACTGATCAGCAATACATATCTCATTTTTAGTTTTTGGGTGTATGAGAGCAGTGATCCTAAAACTTTGAGAATCATACTGGAATCAAAATGCAGTAACAATACATACAGCAAAAAAAAAAAATAAAAAAAATAGATCATCATGCCCAAATGTTCATAAACGTTACATTTCTAATTTAATATCTAATTTAACAGGTCTAACATAAGAGCACAGTACATATTTTTAAGAGCATACAAAGATGTGCAAAAGGAGAAAACAGCCATAGATTACCTGTGTCTGAGGAGACTAGACCATTGGAAAGGAGAGACACACAGATGACAGATAGTCAGAAGAATGACTGACAGATAAAATGACTGGCGATCACACCAACAGTTAAATTCATACCAGACATATTTATGATATGGTTCACCTAGATATAAGTTGTAAAGGTACTCAATTCTAACAATCTGAGCTTGGGTCAAGCCATGTCTAGTGCACTCCTCACATCCCATGATTTCAACTGATCACTTATTGAGCATTTCTTTAAAAAAATAAAGGGGCAAGCAGACAAACATGGGTACTTTTGACATTTTATCTTTCTGTGTAAATTTCACTCACTTCACAAGTTGTTAAAGTGAAGTGGCATCATTGTAGTGCCATAGTTTCAAATCATGAAGCAAAACCCCTCACACCTTCATGCCTGTATATTTTCAGACAACAAAACTCTCCTGCAGAGTCAATTATCGTCCCAAGCAGAATCATATGGGTGCACATGAATTACATGAAGCAGGCTCCTTCAGCCTTTATTGAGTGTCCTTGTTGCACTAGAGCAACCTTTGGACCAATCGATAGATCAAATTAGACTTCAATGACTGGCCACTCTGAGCAGACACACAAGACTTAACTCACAGAAAAGCCTCTGCAACATCAAGATAGAGAAGACTGAGAAGGGTAATACATTGTATGTATGCAAAGATGGGAATTCACTGACATACGTTTATATTTTCGTATGTGTAAATGGACAGTGTGACAAACTCACCCAGTTAACATTGTCCATAGGTTTTCAATATGCGCATGATAACATCTCCAGTTTCAATAACTAAAAAAAAATCTAAAATATAAAAATAAAAATATGACCACACTACCTTTCCTGGCGAAATTTAGGTCCACATCTTTAAAGTTCACAACTACGACATCAGAAGCCTTGAAAATGATGCTCTCTACAATATCTTCTTTCCTGGGCCCTGTGCTCGGTTCTGTACTCTTTCGGTGGGCTGCATCCAACACCAGGTCACACTGAGGGAGAAAAATATCATTTGAAACACAGAGGGCAAAAAAAAAAAAAAACTATCTGCAAAAGACACAAGAAACTATGGACAATGCACTCTTTCATGCCCATCACACTCCACAGTAGCTAGAGAAACAAAACAGCTATAAACAATCTCAAGAACAACCCTAAAACTAAAACATACTGAGAAATCTCAAGAGATCTGTTTTAAGCATCACAAGAAAGATATGTGGTATATGGTTATGAATTAAAGATCTGGAAAATTGTAGCAGGCTTCCTTTAACTATTAGTCAAATAAATCACTCATCACTCTTATCAATTAAACTACTTTGTGTAATCCTGGCATCAGCATACTAGCATAGATCTGAATTAGAGGAAAACCTCAAATTTACTTATGATTATTACTTTTGAGAAATTATTCAGCCTAAAAGGGAAGGTAAATGCTCAAATATCAGAAAAAGCAATGCCGGTCTAAACCACCTTAGGGGTGAAACTAGTACCAAGTGTTAGCAAGACTCCATCACATTTAACCCTAATCATATTCAGCTAGTGAGAAAGTAACAGATTTCCCTCCATATTGGCACAATAAAGAATACCACATTATGCATGAGCCTTACCTCTGGGCCATAGGTCTTAAATACTCCCTCATAGATGGCTCCATTTTTCACTTTAAGCTCACACTTGGTCCCCTACAATTAAAGAGGCTTGTCGTTATATACGGTATGTGCCTTTCAGTACAAATTTTAACTTACATGTTCAAAAATATAAGTTCAGAAACCCATTTTTCTGCAAGGCAAACCATTGATTGATCAATCACTTGTTTCCTTTTATGCAACCAGCTGTCTCTACAACAGGCTTTGTTTAATGCTGTATAAACAATTTGAAGAAACAGCATGTGGTAAAACAGACTGCAGTAAATAATGTTCTTACTAACTCACTTAGAGTAAGCATGATTCACATGGCTACTTCATCCAAGGAATTTTGCAACTATGCATATTCTTATAATCATTACACACAGAAAAAAAAAAGGAACAAGGTAGGCACACAGTAAACGTACCACCACTGAAGTCAAGACATGGACCATCCTCATATTTGCATATACACCATTGAAAATGACCTAAAGAAAAGATACAATTAATTTTGATGCTCCCATTTTGAGCACAAAAAAGACGCCAAATAATGTCTCATCACTGTGGAATACCAATACACTTGTTCCATTCTTAATGCAATTAAAAAGGCGATATCTGGATTTATGCTTTCTCTGGCATTAAAATGCAGGAAACCAAGAAAAAGAAGTGTTAAAGCATTGTGAGGGTTTTTCCTGCATAAGATAAATTCTGGTGCCCACCAATGACATGCCTCAAGAGGAAAAAAACACCATCACTATGTTCAAAAAATCTGTTTTTTTTGTTTGTTTGTTTGTTTGTTTGTTTTTTTAAATACTCAAGCTTGAAGGTATTTTTGTTTCTCAAATGTATATGAAAAATAACAGGTTACTCACTGCTGCTGGACCTTTGCCACTGTGTCTCCCCCTGAGGGACAGAAAAAAAAAAATCGCATTTTGATTAAATTGTTGTCAAACTCACCATCAACTGTAAAAAATAAAATAAATAAAGACTTGACTTAGCACATGCTCTGATATGTGCAACTCACTAAGAGAAATCATAAGAGGCAGTGATTAAGATGATACAGAAGTGCACTTGAAGTTAATCAATACAAGCTATATAATTTGCTTTAACCTTAACCTCATTTCTAAAATATACTTTCACAGCATACTGCAAGTATCTGCATATATTACAATCACTTGTAGCAAACTACAGAGAACCAGGTTTAAGAATACATGAGGGTCTTATAATGATGCTTTACTGAGATTATGACTGAAGAGGACATGTGAAATGTTTGCAGCTGCAGACATGAAAATGAAATCACTTTGGTTTTATCAAGTATAAGATTTATTACCATCACTATCGATTTCAGCTGTGGAGACATCACCACAACCATCAACACAGCCCTCTTACTTGATCAATTGTTTAAATTGTGGACATTGACTTCATATTTAAGATCGACAGAATTGCTCTTGCAGATCACATTTCCAATGTGCAATGTAAATTCTGAAATTTCCCCAGTGTCTCCAAAACATTATGCTTATAATAATTATGTTTGTGATGCAATCTAGCCAAACACTCAGCAGCTAAGAGTTTTCCCAGGCATGTCCTAAAATGCACCTTGTTCAGCAGCTGGCACATAACCAACCATTCAACGTAAGCAATGGCCACTAACCCCTATATTATATCCGTTGCAGTAAATCAGTCCTAAGCTTTCTAAAACACACTTAGCCATGCCATTTTGAGCTGTAATGTGCAGGTTTTGTGAGCATGGTTATAAACTGGACCAATATCCATTTATAGCATCTTCACGATGAATCCTACGCAGTGAAAGGGGAGTGCTGTCCTAGTGACCGGTGAACAGCAGCCTGACCACCAAAAATCACAGCATGCATGCTGTTCATGCACTGACAGTGTGCTTTATCTTCATCTTGGGACGACGTGTACAGAGAAAGTCATGCCTCAAGGACACTATTCCTCACGAACAGCAATGGCAACGTCAAGGTTGAAAGCCAGTCGGTCTGTAATTCCCCCTTCTCCTCCTCCACCTCACCCCCGTTTCCACACCCGCCCCTTTCTTCTGAGCGCCCACACGCTTTATATCCATTTCCTGGCAACCCCGTTGCAGCAATATTGCGGTAACGTACCAAGCTACATGGCAGCCAAAAGACAACAAATGCCGTTGCGTGTCCCCCATTAGCCAACGGTTACAAAACTGAAATGCAAGCATAGGCTGGCAATTGGCTAATTAACGCTAGCTGACTTGGCTTCAAGCTTAGAGTAAACTGATACCAGCAACTTGGCAAGCAGCGTCACTAGTACTACACTCATGTGAGGAAAGATAAATGTCCACCCGAACATGTATTTATGGAAAATCAACCTCGTGGTGGCATGTTTGATTTAACGTGCCAGAGAAGATAATGTCACGTCGAAAGTTGCAACAGCACTGGACCAAGCAGACAGGCAGGCCTCGCTAGCTGAACTGCACAACTGGCTGACCAACACGTCGCAAGGCCCGCACAACGTTCACAAACACGCACTAGTTTTGGACCACTTAACGGCAATGTCATCTCTTACAACCGCTACCGTTTGGCAGTGACTATGGCCAAATATCGAAAACGTGTCAAACCAACCCTCCTTGCTGTGTTTTTGCTTCGCTATGTTAACGTTCTAATTTCACATACCTGCCCAGATTCTGTCTTCCCCCGCCGCTTCCTCCGGCACCGGAGGCGGCGGCGGCACCGGCGGTGCTACCACCGCCGGGCTTGCTGCGATTTCCACCGGCCTTCATTGACATGGTGATCCCATAAAAGACAGCGTCTTTAACAGACCAGTTTCACGCCGCAATTTCTTGACGATGAGACGGTGTGCGGTACCTCACTAACGTTGGGCAATCCGAAGACCTAGCTTAGCCAGCAGGCTAAAGTCAACGTGCCTGTTCAGGAGGATGCTTTGCTAAGCAGCTAGCCTGGCTAACAGTTGCTAGCTAAATTAGCGACCTGTACAATTCCTATTAAAACTGAAAAAAAAAATATTTAAAAAAAGACAACACGCTCTAGTAACTTTTCCGAAATGAACATGTGTGTTACACCTCTTGTCAATTTGTTATATAATTATTATCTCAAAATCGGGTTTGCAGCTATCTCGGATTCTTTCCGTTGCTAACAGCGAAAAGACCAAAACAGCCTGAAAGGGGGACAAAAACAGCGGAGGGATATGAGAGGCGTGACGGCTCGCAACACTTCACTCTATATTTTTATACGCTGTGTTATTTGAAAACTATTGATCTTGTAAACAGATGAACATGACCATCTTTAACGTAAAAACCCAATGCAGACATTTGTGTTAAAAGAGACACAGTTACATCATGGCACTATTTTCAGGAAGTCCATGAATTTTCAATTACTATGTAGTGTCATCCACGTGAGCCGGCGAACTCACTACTAACATACACACAAACACACACACACGGCGGGTGTGGGCATAGTGATGGCTAGTATCCACTGAAGCATGAAGGTTTCCAATTAGCAGGATTGGAGGGTCACTTTGAGATAGTCCCATTTTTCGTTAATAACTGGTGTAACTTCCACAATCTTGATATGACAAGACAGCTGTACAAAGAGGATTCCAGTCTAGTAAACTAAACTAAAACAAAGTAAGGATAAAAAAAAAGTTTCATCAAATAAAAAACAAAGTAAAATAAAATAAATAAATGGACCTAGAAAACTAACTAGTAGGGCTAAGGGGTGTGTCACAACTCTGTTGCTTGTGAAGCTCGCACACAAGAATTTCACTCGCATGTGCTGTACCAATGTACCTGCACATGTGATGTGACAATTAAAGTGATTTGATTTGATTTGATTTGAGAAGAGGGGCATTGGGTGGCACCAATCCCCCTAAGATCTTATGTAACAAGTCTAAATACTTTTTCCCACTTTGCAAAACATTTATACAGTGCGTGATTGTGCTTAAATTCTTGTGCAGCATCACTTTATACAAAACAAATCTGCAATAGGAACCAGGGCTGCACATGAGCCTGAAAATTGTCTTTTCTTGCCCATTTCTATACCTTTAAAATTTTATTTTATTTCATTTTCCCACAATGTCAAATATGGTAGAGACAATGTTGTTGCATGGCCAGGTATGGGCTGCTAGTGGAACTGAGTCAGACAAATAGTGCAAGACTGACTGGAATGTAAATGGATAATGACCCAAAGCTTACTGCAAAGGCAACCTAAAAGTTTCTCACAGCAAGAAATGTGATATTCTTCAGTGGCCAAGTTGGTCACCTGATTTCAATCTAACAGAGCATGCTTTTCACTTACTCAAGGGCAGAGTGACACAAACAAGGAGCAACTGGAGGTGGCTGCACTAATGTTTTTCATTTAAAATTTCCACAGTCAAATATTAAATATATTATTGAGAAAAGTTCAAAGGTTTGACCTGTTGGTCTAACATAATGAGTCACTGCATGAAGAAATATCAGGACTTTCTGTTCTATAATAATCAAAATATATTACTTCACAATTTATATGGAACTGAAACATATGTAAAGACCAACAATAAGAGATAAACATAGTCCTTTAAGTAGGTATTGATGGATACATTTGCCACTTTAATGTTGTAGCATGTGGATTAAATGAGATTCATAAATATTTATGTCATGTAAATTATTCAAATGGTATTAATATTGAAGCTATTATTGAAGCTGTTATCCTGAACAAAGTGTATGCCTATCAAGTGCTATTTAGTGCTATTTTTCTGTTGTCTTCCTCTTTTGGATTTATTATGGTTTGCAAACATCTTTCAGCTGCATTACTACAATCTGAGCTGGACTGTGGCCCAAAGGTCTGCCATCTAACCATTCTCAAAAAAAGAAAAAGGGAGAATTGCAATGACCAGTATGACCTTTCCTTAATCTTGTCATAACACTTTAGTCTTTCCCATTTTGTCCTCCACAATGTGCGCCCAACTGATGGTTTAGTTAAAACAAGCAAATAAATAAAAACCCCACCCCAAAGCCCTGCTGTGATTACTTTGTTCCATATATTCTTCTTCATCTACCCGACACAGCAAAGAACCCACAGACAAACACATTTGGTGAATTGTAAATAGAATGATTCAGTGCTGCGCAATACTCTGATGCTGTACTTGCTCTGGGATGGATTCTCTGGTATGATGTTTCTTATCTTGACTGGACAAGTTATAATCTTGCAAGATAACTTGTGCACACTAAATAAAAGCCCATAAGTGCCTAACACCATCAAATGCATGTGATGGTGATAACTCCACTTATCAAGTTTTATTTTCACCTTGGGTGGTCATAAAATAAAATTCCTTCTTCTCTTGTGCATAACTTGAGCACTAACAAAAGGACTGTATAGTAGTATATGTGGTGCAGCAAGAAATTTCCACCTATTTACGTGCTTGAGCAGCACAGATTTCACTGTATGACATTCTGAGGTGAGAAGAAAACATAATTAGCTGGGTTTTCTGACACTGTTACTGACATATAGCGTTGTAGTAAATTATATATACAATGTGATGTGTCGACACATAACAGCCATCTTAGCAAAGAACCAATTTTAAATTATACCTTTGGGGACTTTGTTATTAGCAGCCTTTCACAAAAATGCATAATTTGTCCCCATTTCTTTTGTTGAATCTCCGAAAAATGCCAAAGAAGGTGATTACCAAAGACAGATAAGCTGGAAATGTGGCAAATCTCAGTATGGTGTGCATATTGAGGAAACTGGACAGGGGAAGGACAAAAGAAAAAGCAACCGGCTTAAAGAACTGTTTGCAGCTGATGAACAGTATCTGAAAATCATGTCCTTGAGATATATGGGGGGAAATGCAGCAAAGATCTGACACAGAACACCTGAGATTTATCTGGTCCTTCAGAGATGCATTTGGTCTGCTGAGCCCTCATCAGAAATGGTCTCAGTTAAAGGGTGCCTGTCAAGAAGAGAAACAGGGAGAAAGGACTCATGTATCAAGAACTAGATGTAAACTAAGTGGCAACAGGTCTGATGGAATGATTAGTGTAAATTTGACATTTTTGGTTCAAATTGTCATGAATATGTACAGAGGAGGTCAGGAGAAAGGTACAACGGTGAGTATCTACAGCCATCTGTAAAACACGCTTGAGGCTCTGTTATGGTTTGAGACTGCATTTCAGCATTTCAGTGATGTTTGGGATCTTATGGAAATTCATGGAATTATGAATCCAGAAAAGTACCATTAGCATGACAGTGATCCCAAACACATTTCCAATGCAGTTAAAGCATTGATGGATCCTCAGGTGTCAATATTATTGAAGCAGTGAGGGATCATCTTGAAAAAGAACAGAACAAAAGGCAGCCAACATCCAAAGAAGAGCTTTGACTGTGTTTCAAGAAGCCCGAAGAACTATTCTTGAAGACTACTTAAAGAAAATACAAAAAAGTTTGTGTAAAGTTTGTGTCAGGCTGTGTTAAAGAATAAAGACAATCATACCAAATGCTCCCTCCCCCAAATCATTTATTGTTACATTTATTGTTATTTATTACAATTGTTTAGTGAATTGTATTATCCTGCCCCAAAATGAGTCGTTGGTGGGTGAGTACCCGTGCCATGAACAGAAGAGTCTGTTATCTTATTTGACAGTATCTATTTTTCTTGGTATTTCCGATTATTTTATAAAGTCTATATTATGTTAAAGTACATCAAATCTAATTAAATAAATAAAAATTTTAAAGCGAAGGAGAGTTTTTTTCACACTTGGATTTAGCTAAAGCTCATTGGGTGTGCAGGTAATATCTCTGTATAAGAAACATTTTTAACGAAGTCGTGGAAGTCTTATTTTTAGGGGTTACCTGATGGAATACTGCCACCTGGGGGGATAGTTTTTTTGGAAGGTAGGTGTCTAACAAATTATCTTAATTAATTTATTTTAGCGCATTCTGATATTAATTAAAGTGTGATGGTTGATTTTTTTTGTTTGCTTGTTTTTTGCTGGCATTTAACTTTTTAAATATAATAAAATTTCCTATAATGTGTAGATTTTTAAGTTGAGCTTAACTATATTTCCGCCAGGGGTAGTTCTGCAGTAGTTCAACTTCTTCCACTGTTAAGTAATCGGTAGTTTGCAATGCTGCTTATGGGACTTGAGTCCGCATTGAAAACTAGGTCCTTATAAGGACCCATTACAGTGTATCCAGTTCAAACGTATTTGATTGTAAAAAATAATTTGCTGTTTCAAAAATACAAAAAACAAATACATGTATTATACGCCGAAAATTACGTGGTGTGTGATAGATTAAAACGTGTAGCCTAACATATTGTCCGAATTTATTAATGTTGTCAATAATTTTGATCAGGCGTTCTGTTCGGACAGGCGTTGTGTGTATTCCTCTGGCAAGACCCCTATGGGATTAGCAAAACAGTCCAGAGATGCGGATATCTTTTGGCCACCGCTGAATGCAGTCTCCGATAACTCCTGTCATCTGCTATGTGTTGTTGCTGTTCCATACGCGTTCTGATAGTTATCACGGTCTGCTGAGAATTTTAACATCCCTGGCTTTGACTGGAGCAGGAAAACCGACGCGACTCGGTTAGCTCGTTACCTAGCGTGTCAGAAGGCTCGACGACATAATAGATTGTCCTGCTGCTGAGAACGCGGTGTGCTCTTCTTGTCAGATCAACCCAGGTGTCACCCAGTGTACTATCGCTAATTTTCAGAGAGTATCTTCGTTCCGCCGTATCGTTCACTGTTGTCTTTGTTATGTAATCGACTGCTTTCACCGTGAAATGTAGCAGCATACAGCAGCTTGGCCAGTCTTCAGTGTCTCCGCAGCGTTAGCAGAGCACTGCTCTCACTGCGCTGGCTAAAAATACCACTGTAAGGCCCCCCTGCTCGCTGCGCCTCCAAAAGTGCTGGACTTGTCCCTGTTGGACTTCTCTTTTCTGGTCACCTTGCTCGCAGTTTGCCACTCTACATGGTCACTACAGTGAATTTGAGACGACTGGTAGAGCGAGTCGGGCCCCGAGGTTGTGAGCCGAGCTGGTCTGATCTAACGTTAAATCGTACCAGCTGCTGGGCTTCAGTTTTCCAAAGGAACGGCACTCGGCTTTGGTTGCTCTGTAGCCGAGTATCATTTTGCCCCGATGGCCTTTTCCTGTTATAACTAGTAGTATAGAAAGCCTTGGTGAAGCCCGGGGTACTTTATAAAGGTCAGACAAGACACAAACGCTTCGTTTCCACTGTGTTCAGTCTGAGTTTGGGGAGGCAGACTTCATCTGTCCGGAGCACAAAACCATGTCGGAGGATAACAATGCAGACAAATTCATCAAGGTAACCTAAAATGACACTTCTTCTGCTTGGTTACTGGTCCACTCAAGTGATGGAAATATTATCTTTTTAAAGCTGTTGCTCAATGCATGCTACATGAAGAGCGCAGTTTTATCTTGTTTCATGAGACAGTCATAAACTCATATTTATTGACAGCAGATGAGTTTTATGTGTGATTTGCATGGCAGAAATGTTGAACATGTTTTAAAAAACATAATATTCATTTCTTAGTTTAAACCCATTTAACAATGGTCATGATCATTAACCAGCCTTACTTCCCTGCAAACTGGATCTGGGGTTTGTTCCTCGCTGGCTCCCCTCAGTGTGTCATTGCCCTGGCATCTATGTCAACAGTAAAATGTGATCTGGAGTTGCCCTGGCCCCTGCTTTCATGGTTGGGCAAGAGGTACTCTAGAACTGGAGCACACGTTCGCTGAGTAGCTTTCGGCTTAACCCCGACTCTGTTTTATCAATTTCCTGGCTCATTAAATCAAATGCTGGGAAATAATCTTGCATGTTTCCTTGCTCCAGAAAAAAAAAGTATTAAAGCATTACAAATCTGCGTAGTTTTTGATCACTCGTCCTTCAAGTTGTGTGATTAAAGAACCCTGGACTCCCTCTTAAAGTGATGAGATCTGTTGACTTTGTTAGGTTGTGGGGGTTTGCTGACATCATTTGGGTCCCCTTAGAATGAAAAGTCACTGCAAATCAATAGAGTTGTTCTGTTGACTGCGTTTATCTCTTAGTGAAACCATATGGAGGGGTGTTTTTCCAGAATGACAGTGCTTCTGTCTTTTGGTTCAGTGAGTCACCAGTGATTCACTAAACCTCACATTCATCAAACATAGGGTTTGATGAGTGTGAACATCATGTGAATCATATGCTATGGCTTTCACAATCAGCAAGTCTAGTCCCAGTTAAACAGCTATGGGAGATTTCGGCCGAATACTCCACCTCGACCAAATAAGAGGATATCTTTTTTTGGATTACTTTAATAGTGTCTTGACACGAAATCGCACTTTCCTGGTTGTCAAGCTGTAGTAAAACATTGTCAAGTGTTGCAACAGTTATATTTTAATCAGCCAATGTTCACATGTCCCAGAAAATTATGTTATAAGGAAAAGGGACTAATGCCAAAAATTTCTGGCCTCAAGTTTGGGGGTTTGTCAAAGAGAACTTGATTTGTTTTATTTTGATTTTTTTAGTTGATTACTGAACTTGTGTGGGTGAACTTGTCTTTAAATAATTAATTTTGGCACCAGTAGTAGCAGCATGATTTTCCAGGTGCATTTGTGTTATAGCAGCCAAGCTGTCTTTTTTCTAAATCTTTTTTCTGTCAAGGAATGGTACTATTGTGAAACTAGAGCCCATAGATGTATAGCTATTACACCACCCAGTGTTAACACAGTAGGGTTAATGTGTTTCTTTCCATTTAGTATAATGTAACTAGTATCTGCAGTAGTCTTTTGAATATATGTTATGAATATAACATACAGTATGTATTATAATAAACATCATATTCTGTGTACTGGTATAATCACTGCCTGTGTATTGGCATTGATCAAATGTTTGGGGGGGGTTTAGTTTTTTTATACAGTATTTTCTTTTCTTTCTCGTGAGCTAATGATCATAAAGCATGACATACCCCGTGCTGACTGTTGTGAAAGGCACAGATGATTCATAAACTTAAGCCTAGGTCTTTTTTTAACATTCCTGTCTACCACGGTGGTCTGCCTTTTCTTCAATCTTCTGATATACTATATGGTATTATTTTGTCTTTTTAACAGGAGACATCTATTTTGGACGAGTACAACATAAACTGGACACAGAAACTGGGAGCTGGCATCAGTGGCCCTGTCAGGTAAGTCTTTTTAAAAAGACTTTTCTTTATTCTTGACATTTTATCTTTTCTGCTGCAGTCTGTTGGTGCCAAAATGTGGAACGGGATTATTTTTCTTGAACTATGGCCAGTGTGAGGAGTATTACACAACCAGGAAACATTATCATGATATCTGTTTGTGATTGAGAAATCACCTTTTACCTGTGCTTCTGACGTCTATGGAAATGAGTTATTGTCATTTATTAGTGCTACAGAATCCCACAGGGAGAACTCTTAACACTTCTGGGTTAAACACAACTGTGAGAACGCAGTCAGCGTTAACTGAGGTTACAGTGTAGTTTTGTTTATCCTGAAAATAGATTATTGTGATTCAGAGTATTTTTAAGTAAAGTGATTTGATTGAAGAGGGTGACAGAGATTGTTGTGTCCCCATGCAGTGCATGATTAAATCTATGTATACATCTGAGTCTCTGAATACACCGCAGAGTCGATGTCAGAGCTGATTTAGATTTATTTGTTAGCTGAGCTATTGACTAGACAAACACGTCTGTATGCATTTCTAGCGGTTCTCTTGCATTAAATTTGCTGTTGCACAGTCTGACCTTATCCTTGGCACGTTAACACATTAAAAATTATAAAAGGACCAGGTGCTTGTCACTTGCTTTAACTGACTGGACCTACTACCCGTGTGTAAGAACATTGCAGCTGGGAGCTTAAAATGTTTGGCACAGGCACGATTTCTGTTGTTTTTGGAGGTGGCTCAGTTGGCACAAGCACAGTCTATGTAATTGCAGCATGGTGGACTTGAATCCCACCCAATGCACGTATCCCTCAAAACCTCAGTGGAAGTCAGTTAAACTGGACTCATTATGTTTTCATTTTGTTATGTTCATGTACACCATATAATAATGGATTGGATTTATATAGCGCTTTTCAAGGCACCCAAAGCGCTTTACAATGCCACTATTCATTCACTCTCACATTCACACACTGGTGGAGGCAAGCTACGGTTGTAGCCACAGCTGCCCTGGGGCAGACTGACAGAAGCCAGGCTGCCATAGCGCGCCATCGGCCCCTCTGGCCCACACCAGACTGTTACTGTTACCATATGAGAAAAAGTATTAGGCTACCTAAACATTACACCTAAAGGCGATTTTCTGACATCATATTCTATTAATATGAGGCATTAATATGAAGTTGGTCCCCATTTGTGGCTATAATAGCTTCCACAATTTTGGAAAGGATTCCTGCAAGATTTTGGGATGTGTCTGTGGGAATTTTTCACCCCACTCGTTTAAAAGAGCATTTATCAGATCAGACACTGAAGAATCCTTTGGTTACTGGTGTAACCCCAGTTCTCTGAAAACCAAGTGAGGTATCTCACTATGGGGAATGACCTCTGAATGACCATTCAGGCTCCACTACCACAACGTCAGATCAATGACTTCAAGGACATGGGGTTTCCTGACCCTCTTTGTAACAGTCTCTAGGCCCCCACGAGAACCTGGAGTTCTTCAACTCCTAAGAGAAGCATGGAGAAGACGAGGAGGAGGATGTTATCATGGATATCATCAGAGATGATAATAATGAGAATGAGGATGATGCTATGCTGCCCTGGCATCTTGACCTGACAGCTCCATTGGCAGGGAAGCTAAGCCCTCTCCATCTCCCCTGCGAAGTCACTCTAAGTGAGATATGCAAGCATGCGTCAATCAAGCTGTCCATTAGCTGGCCTATAGCTTCTAGTTTATCCCAAAGGTGTCAGGGCAGACAAGTTCTTTCATAGCAGAGTCAAACATTAAAACTCGAAAAATGGAACTAAGAGGCCCAGGTAGACCCCAGAAAAAATAGTCCCATAGTATTATTCTTCTTCCACCAAACTTAACACCTGGCATAGTGCAGTCAGGTCAGTAATGTTCTCCTGGCATTCTCCAAACCTAGACTTGTCCAGAGTCCAGTAGTGGTGTGCTTTACACCGCTCCATCCAACACTTGGCATTGTGCCATAATGAGGTAAGTATGTGTGCAAGTAACCTCAGTTACTCAGTTCAGTTTCAGATGTTTTTGTCTCTACTCTTGCTTCTTTATGGCGTCAGTGATAATATGGTCGTTTCAGGCATGCAGCTCTGGCTGTGAGCACAGCAGCTCCACACAGCTGCTCTGGAAGACAATCTGTTAGCAAGGGGCAGCCAGTCCAAAAGAAAGTTCCTTTAACAGGACGGTGGCCCTAAGCAGAGTTTGGGAGTTCAGCATTTGTGCCCATTTGTGCAGGTTCTTTTGGCATTGCAGAATGAAAGTTTAAAAATGCGTAGACATGCTGTAAAATACACAGCAGCGTGTGGGCATGGTAGGTTTCTTTCAAGCCTGTTGCACAAGCCTGTTGCGCCCATATTGATGGGAACAGTTGAGAGGGACAAGAAACATGAAGTGCGAGAAGCGAGTGGAATACAACAAATGGTCAGACTCGCTGGGATTCAGTTCACAGACTCACTGTTAAAAGCATTACTACCCATGTGTTGTGTAAACTAACAGCTTAAAATTGTAATCCTCTTGAAGAAAGTGAGTTTATTTCCAATTCCTTGGCTTTGTTGGGTTTAGTCTAGCTGTGGATACACAAGGGATCAATTATAAAACATAGCAGTTTGCTTAAGTCGTCCATTTCCCTTCTATATTCCTCTAATTGTCTTCACACTGTAAAATGGGGAGTAATCGATCACAGGAAAGCTTATACCGCATATGCATAAGTAGCAATCACTGTTATAAATGACTCCTTTTAATATTAAAAATTAGTAAACGCTGCATTGCCCTGCTTCACTGGGATATCTGTTCACAGGAATGACTTTTAGATTCATTCTGTTTCTGCTGAACTTTACAGAGAGGCAGCAGCTCTGCCAGCAGATTTAAGTCTGTTTATGCTATACGCAGTCTTTTTAGTGCAGGTCTGTCTTGCTGATTCTAGTTAGATGCCAGTGGTAATATATCAGTGTCTGCCACTGACTTCTTCTGCTCATTCTGCACTTTGAGGCTATCATTAGTCTGGATCAAGCGAGAGCAATCTGTTATTACCCAATGTGTATATTTTTGGCCTTGAGTGATGAGAATATAGTGAAATTGACTCATCAGGCCACCATGTAAACATGCTGGTATGATTCATGCTATTTTTTTTTGAGCAACTTTTACTCACCTCGTGTTTTATATTTCTAACTCGGTTTTTTGCTCGGAACTCTTATTACTTCCTTCTTACCTGTCTCCGTCTGCTAGTACATTCATGTCTTTTACTGTATCCCCCACCACCGGACTAATTCTGTCATTCATTTGGGAAGGTATTGGTTTCTAGTGAAGTGAACTTTGGCCAGAGCTGAATGTTTCTCCCAGTAATACTTTAATAGTGTAATCTGAGTTCAAAGTAAGTGTTTAAAGTGAATATTTGAGCCCCTGTAGATTAGAGGAGAGGGAAAGGGAGTTATTAGATTCTTCCAAAAATGAATTATGTATCTGCATGTTTCATATTTAATGAGTGTGCAGTTCAAAATGTGGATTGAGGAAACCCATTTCCTGGAGTTATTTACTTCATTTTATCCTTGTGACGATGAAAAATATGCATCCACAGATGACTTTTCCTTTGGTTTACTCTACATACAAAGATGCAGAGCAGATTCACCATTCCCACAACAAACTTTGATATTGACAAAATAAAGTAAATCCAGCTAGTCAGCTGATGTCTTCTCTGTGCTTCTGTTTGGCCTTATTTAATTCAACATCAGATCATATCCAGGCGGTATGTAGGAGTGTAATAGTCTAAAACACCACGTTAGCACACAGAAACTACCTTTACAACTTTAAAGTCTTTTAAATAAAATAGAGCGCCTATGCAAATATAAATTCAAGCTTTACAGATAAAGTATTTACACATCCACAGATTATAAATATAAGTCCTAAAGTGATTAGTCTATTAACAGAAGAATATTTATTTTAAATAACATGCAAATAATTAGTTGTCTGCAGACAAAATATATATCTGAAACTAGGTCTGTGCAATATGACCAAAATCTCATATCCCGATATAAGAATTCTATCGTCCCGTTCCGATATAAATCACAAAAATGTAACATTTTCTGTAAATTCTGTGGATCTCGGGCAGCTCGACTTGCGGGAAGTGTTTCCAGCTGCGCGTCATGTAGCTGGAGTCCAGTGTTTTAACAGATGCATGAAACTATACATTTCTAGACATAAGTTGTAACGGCCGCCGTTTTCTTTGTATTTATTACACGGCGTGCTGCGGGGAAAAGCCTGTTCTAACGTTTGAGTCTAAGGTTTATTTTTTAGCACCTGGCGGCTCTTTTTTACTTCTTATCCGTAAATAATCTGCTCTTTCACGGGATTCAGTTTATTTTGAAAAGTCTCAACAGGATCTTGAGCTTTATTGTGAAAGGTTTATGTGGAACATAAACAAGCGGACAGGCGATGGTTTTAACGCCGTTGTTGCTAACGACAGCCACTACAGTGACCATCAAAATAATGAAAAAGTATTACCGTAAACAGTTTATTTTGCGACACCAAGGAACAAATGATAGCGTAAAATGAAACATAGACGTTTTTATATCGTCATCCGATATATATCGTTATATGAACAGCCCTATCTGAAACTGTAGATACTGTTGAATTATGTTTTTTATCTACTTTAAAGCTTTTTGTAAGGGTGAAATGGCATCTCAAGTTAAAAGAAAAAGACATTGTCAGCCTACACATTGTCCCTCATTGATATCAGCTGTTTTGTTTAAGTAAAGGACACTGGACACTGGACACTGTCTGGCATTTTATTTGTTGTGGATTTGGGGAATGCAGTTTTATCTGACTGGACTTGATTGTAATCTTGTTTCTTAATCAGATAGGTAGATGGGAATGCTGTAAAATGCTTGGATGGTTGTTTTATGTGACATAGTGGTTTAATGATTTCACCTGTGACCTCATGTAGAGGAGCTGGTTGCAGGTGTAAGAGAGACGCCTTTTAATGATTTAGTGTGTTTATCAGGATGTTGTGAAAAGCTGGCAAGGCTTAAATCGTTTTCAGGTGAAACTGTAAATAATTAAGCCAATTTGCTATAAAGTTATGTCAATAACGTGTTAAAGAGTTTGCACAGTTTTTAGGTTTTAATCTGAATATATTAGATCACGTAATACAGATGAGTGACAAGCAGAGCAACTGATTGTTAATAGAAACACCAGAAAATGAGAAAAGTTCTGTGAGTTTAGATATATTTAATTCCTGATTGTTAGCACAGGCACACATCTGACACATCTATCATGGTGCGTGGGGTGTTTGTCGATACTTGTTTTCTTTTTTTGCAGAGTTTGTGTGAAGAAGTCAACTCAGGAACGCCTGGCCCTGAAGATCCTTATTGATCGCCCCAAGGCCAGAAATGAGGTTGGAGGAAACACTGTCATGGCTGTGATTAATACCTGCTGTTTGTTGTCTGGGGCTGTGTCAGCATGCTTTGTTCTGCCTGCCTGTTATCAGTCTGTATTAATTCCGGTTTTGTTTTTTTTTCTTCCTTGCTTCTCTTGTACTTCAGCCTGTTTGTATGAGCGCCTTTGTCTGCAACGCTGTCTCCCTGCAGTGAACAGTTTGTCTTAGCAGCCTCTCCGTGTCATTAGCAGCCCCCTGTTTTGATCAAGCAGCTTATGCAGCAGTTAAGCAGTGCAGTCAAAACAAGCTACACAGACTTGGTGTTGGCGTACTGTCTTTGTCTGTCTTGCAATCTGCTTTTTTCTGAGTCTGACACTGTATAATTTCCAATGGTCTAATTATTTAGAAGAATTCTTGGTATTTGCAGCTGCTTAATTTGCATTTACATTTGCAGAATTTGTCAATTTTTGGCATTCATTGGTAACGAATGTGCATTAGTTGACTCATCTGCTTAATAAAACCAGTAAAGCGGTGGAAACGTGTAATAAAATGATTTCTGTGTCAGCTTTGATGTAGTTTAAACATTTGAATACTAATAGATGTCATTGATCTCACATTAAATTTCTCTTTTTGCCTGGGAAGTGCCGACACTGCACATCAGAGTGACTGTACTGATGATATGATGCTATTCTCTGTTGCAATGACTTTAACCTGGCTTAAACATGGAGAATTTAGACTATTTAAGAGAGTTACTCTAAATTCACTTTGCTTGTTTTCTCTCCAGGTGCGTCTCCATATGATGTGTGCCAACCACCCAAACATAGTGCAAATCCTGGAAGTTTATGCCAACAGTGTTCAATTCCCCCATGAATCCAGCCCAAGGTGAGGCGCTCAGTCTGTTTTTGTAGGATTCAGTGAATCTCTTGTCATTAAAGAAAGAATTGAACATATCTCCATCTCCTGGTTTTCACGGTTTCCTCCAATCGTTCTTCACAGAGCGAGGCTCCTGATTGTTATGGAAATGATGGAGGGTGGCGAGCTGTTCCACAGAATCAGTCAGCACAGGCACTTTACTGAAAAGATGGCCAGTCAGGTCACCAAACAGGTAGGTGAACAGACCTAACTGTGGTCCACCTTTATCTTGTGTTTTATGACATCGTCTGTCTTTTCCTTTAAAGCTGCAGTAACATGTCACACAGCCTCGCCTTGTCATTACTACCTGCTGTTTGGATTAAGTGGCACACACCAGTTCAACCCTAGGCTGTTTTTAATAAATCTATAGATGGTGTCTCAGTTTTATGTCTCCCTCCCTGTAGATCAGCCAAGCGTTGGAGCATTGTCACTCTCTAAATATTGCACATCGTGACCTGAAGCCAGAGAACCTTCTCTTCAAAGATAACTCTCTGGTAAGCTCCTGGTGCTGCGTTGTTGCACACACAGATGTAAATACTGCAGTTTTGAAGTAACGTTAAAGCTGCCACAGCCAATTACTTTTAGCTAATTAATTATTTATACAAAATACAGAATGAAATGCAAAAGAGTAGAAGCTTTGCTAGACTTTTCAACACAGTGGATCAAAGGGTTTTTTTGGGGTTTTTTTTTTCTCAGACTATATCTAGCAGAGTTTGGCAAAGATAATGTAGAATTAGAAAATCTGCAGTGGCTGTGACAGACTTGGAAATCAATTCTGCTCTGGCAGCAATTTCAGTAATGTCCCAAAGGTGTTCCAGCTAAGAAATCCCATCAAGTGAAACTCCGTGAAGCCCCAGAGAAAATATCTTACATGAAGTTGCTAATAAAACGTTTTTATGCTCAAAACATATTCGTATCTCTCATTTGGTGATTCTGTCTGTTCTGCAGGATGCACCTGTGAAGCTGTGTGACTTTGGCTTTGCCAAAATCGACCAAGGAGACTTGATGACCCCTCAGTTTACTCCTTACTACGTAGCACCTCAGGTTAAAAAAAAAAAAGATGTACTTGCTTTCTCATTCCACTGACGGCTGACACATCATTAACGACTGAATGCATCATATCTTAATGATGTATTCTGGCCCTGTTTTCTGTACAGGTACTTGAGGCTCAAAGAAGGCACCAGAAGGAAAAGTCTGGAATTATACCTACCTCACCCACTCCTTACACCTATAACAAGGCAAGACTCATATCTGGGATTCCTGCTGCAGGTGCGTCAGGCCTGGTTCACTGGTGAATTATTTTTTTAAAAGGTTTCTTTTCTGTCTACAGAGCTGTGACTTGTGGTCTCTCGGTGTGATTATCTACGTAATGCTGTGTGGCTACCCTCCGTTCTACTCCAAGCATCACAGTCGCACCATCCCAAAGGACATGAGGAAGAAGATTATGACCGGCAGCTTTGACTTTCCCGAAGACGAGTGGAGCCAGATCTCTGAGATGGCCAAGGACATTGTACGCAAGTAAGTCTTCTTCCTATTTCTATTCTTTGTCTACCTACAGGATTTTTTTTCTATAACCTAATAGATTATCACACGTCCTTCATTATGAAACGATTTCAGACCTCAGTCACCTTTTTCTTAAATATTAAGTTTGTATGTATCAGAGTTCAGATGAGCAGCTCCAACATGAGAAATAAATGGAAAATCGGGGTGCCACTTTAGCTCTCTGAGGGCACAGGGCTGGGTTTGTCTTCATATGATCTTATTTCCAGCTTCCTGTTGTTTCTCTACTCTCCTATCACAATAAAAACTAAAAAAAAGCCTTCAAATGATCTAAAATAAATAAATGACCAAAATAAAATTAGATTAAAATAGTCATTCACGCCAATAACACTCTGCACAAGTTTTGCTTTTTGCCATGAAAACTCTTTTAAATGTTCTTCATCGTCCTTTGTGACCTTTTCCTTATAATTGAAGAAAACTGAAGAATCACATGACCCCCATCAAGCCCCCCCCCTCTTTTTTTTTTTGTGAGTAGGCACAGAGCCTAATAACAACAAGACTTTGCAATCCCTACTGCCGTACCCATTATCTCTGATTTATGGTTTAGGTTTGTCAATCCAGTTGATGCAAAGAATACCTGACTTTGTCCAGCATATTTTGTAGTACACCCCTCAGCAGACTCATTAACTCTCCTGTCAGCTTGTTTACCCCATATTGCCTTCCTTTTCTCCTCTGTCTTCCTTGTGTTTATTCGTCCCATCCCTCTGTTAGTCTCACTCATTCACTCTTTTTCTGACCCACATGTATTTTCTGTTGCCTCTTTGTTTCCTCCCTGCAGGCTGCTGAAGGTGAAGCCAGAGGAGAGGCTGACAATCGAGGGAGTCTTGGCTCATCCTTGGCTTAACTGCACCGAGGCTCTTGACAACGTGCTGCCCTCGGCACAGATGATGATGGATAAGGTGAGTGCATTGCGTCAGTGATCTGACTGGCAGAGGAAACTGCTAAATGAGTATTCTTAATTATTTTAATATAACAGACGTATAGCCCTCCTTAGGCAGAAATTTAGATACCAGCTTTGACTGTCCTCTTTCTGCTTCCCAGGCGGTAGTTGCAGGGATTCAGCAGGCCCACGCAGAGCAGCTGGCCAACATGAGAATTCAGGATCTGAATGTCAGCCTGAAGCCCCTAAACTCTGTCAACAACCCAATCCTCAGGAAGCGGAAACTTCTAGGGTATAGTTGCTGTTTTTTTGTTTTTTTTCTTTGTGTGTGTGTGTATCCAAAGTTTTTTTTATTTGGAAGTCCTTGTATTTAAAAAAAAAAAAAAAAAAGAAAGATCTGCTCTGAAATATGTTTTTCTGTCCATGTTGCAGCCCAAAGCCCAGTGACAGTTTCTTCATTCACGACCCAGAAAACGGAGGGGAAGACTCCAACGTAGCACTGGAAAAATTACGAGATGTCATTGCACAGTGTATACTACCACAAGCTGGTCAGTAAACCCACGCCGGTATACAACTAGCATTTTAATGAAGAAGTATGAAAAGTTGTGCTGGCTTGTTGAGTTTGGCGTCTGTTTTTCACTTCAATTCAACTAAGAAGCATTTTGGCAGTCTGTGATGAAAAGTAAACATAAGAACTGCCAAAGTACAGAGGAACAGATGATCAGCTAAGCTTTTTTTTTCTTTTTCCAAACCTTTAATTGGTTGTAACGTAACTTGAAAATGCAGAGAAACTCACTGATGTTTGAACATTTATGACTAATAATTGCTGGAATTCTAATCAGGCTGTATAAGGTTATAGACACTCACTGACCACTTTATTAGGTACACCTTTCTAGTATTTTGTTGGACCTTGTTTTTTCCTCCAGAACTGCTTTAATTCTTCATTAATTCTTCAGCAAGGTGCTGGAAACATTCCTCAGAGATTTTGGTGCATTTTGACATGATGGCATCAAAGAGTTGCTGCAGATTTGGCATGATGGATGCGCAGGCAGCAATCTCTTGTTCCACCTCAAAGGTGCTTTATTGGACTGAGATCTGGAGACTGTGCAGGTCCTCTGAGTATAAAGAACTCATTGTCATGTTTAAGAAATCAGCTGGGGCTTTGTGACATTAAGCTGCTGGAAGCAGCCATTGGAAGATGGGTACACTGTAGCCATAAAATTATGGATATCATGAGCAGTAACACTGCAGTAGGCTGTGTTAAACTGATGCTCACTTGGTATTAAGGGAGCTAAAGTGTGCCAATAAAATATCCCCCACATCTTTACATTGTTCAATTTTGGTGAGCCTGTGTGACTTACAGCCTCTGTTTTCTGTTCTCAGCTGATGTGATTGGCTCCAGGTTTGGTTTTCTGCTGATGTAGCTCAACTGCTTCAACATTTGACATGTTGTGTATTCAGAGATGCTCTTCTGCATACCTTGGTTGTAACGAGTGGTTATTTGAATTACCGTTGCCTTCCTGTCAGCTCAAAGCTGTCCGTCTAGCATCAACAAGGCATTTTTTAGTCTCTGTAAACGCCAGAGATGTTAGTGTGCGAAATCACTTTCCTTCCCTGTGACTAATTTTTTTTGCTTCCATGTGATTGGCTGATTAGATATTTGCATTAAGGAGGAGTTGAATAGGTGTACCTAACAAAGTGGCCATGGATAGTGTACATTAAAGTCTATATGGAGTCTGCTTGTGATTTTTTTCTGTTGACAATGTTGCACATCTCTCAGAGAGGAAAAAAAAACAACTTCTGAAGTTAAAAAAAAAATTTTTTTGTGCAGGAGAGAACGAGGATGAGAAGCTGAATGAAGTGATGTATGAAGCCTGGAGGTTCAACAGAGACTGTAAGCTGCTGAGGGATGGCCTGCAGGGGCTCAGTTGGGACGGTCAGTGTTGCTTGTTCTCTCTAAAGTCATCCATGTTTTTTTTCATTCACTTTTCAGGTGTGAGCTTATGTGTGGTGAATGAGTAGCTTATTGCAAAGATCAGAAAAGACTGTATAAACAATACCGCTGCACCCCTAATTATTCAAATTGACAAAAATCTACAGAAACCAGATTAATTGTCTCTGTTATTATAAGATTAGGGGAAAAAGACTAAGCATGGCTCTCATTTAGAAGTGTAATTTTATTGTTACCAGTTACCAGATCCTTAACCAGCAGATTTTCATTGCAGGACGAGCCTTCTCCGATAAAGTCGACCGCTTGAAGTTGGCTGAAATAGTGAAACAGGCCATCGAAGAGAAGACAAATCTCCAAGAATCTCATTAGCAGCTGCTGTCTTTCTATCTTCTTTTTATATTGTTTGTTATTACCCTTTTTAACTCATATCTGTAAAAAAGCTTTTTTATGTATAAATTTTTTTTCTTTTCGTAAATTTACTTGCAAGATTTATTGTCAAACTGTTGCAAGAGCTATTGTACAGCTGTAGATATATTTCAAAGATGACTCATTGGTACTATAAATTTTTTTTTTTATGGATACTTGCAAAGAACGTGGGGGGAAAAAACCCACCTCTTTTTTTTTCTTTTTTGCAAAAAAAAGGGAGAAAAAAAAGCAAGACCAAAAAAATGAAAATCTGTGAAAGAAATTATTTTCTGGGAGGAAATTTTTATTAGCTGTTTGTCCAGCTTATTCAAGATGTCATGTGTTTTATCCCAGTTATTTCATTTTATTCTATTTTATGTTATTTTATTTTAACCTTGCTAAGGAATGTATTTATTTAAACAAAATTCCATTATTTTATACCTTACTCGTAGGTTGGGGTCCGAAAGTTGACAGAAGCACTCTACAATGTGATTTTGTTCTTCCACACACCTTTAAAATCTCACGCTAGAGAGAAATGGTCTGAAGCTTTGGGTTTTCCATAGTCTCGTGCGTCTTTCCCTCGACCTTTGTTGTTTAGAGGTTGGGGAGAAGCAGAAATGCGGGTAAAAGAAAGCATCATAAATCAGAAAAATGGAGGCAGATTTGCTCATTTTTTTTCAAAGTACCTCTCTTCCAACTAAATTTATTAGTTATTAAATCGTTTGAGCCAAAAAATAAAATCTGAATACCTTTTTTATGAGCTTTAGTTAAGACGTTCTCAGACTTTTTCAAAGCCCCCCAAAAATCCCCCCCCCCCTTTCAAAAAGATAAATAAAAGTAACAATGTGTTTTTCTGATTTCTGATGGTTTGGATGAGAGTCCACTGTTTTATTTCAAGTTGTTTATCTGTGAAACTGACACAATCTCTGCTGCTTTCACGTCACAGTTGTATCTGCTGGAATTTAGACCTGCATAGTTAATATTTGAACTCTTTCCTAGCAGGAGTGGTTGTTACTTGAGCTCAAAGAAACACACACACAAAAGAAACCCCCCCTGGTGATTTTGGTCCAGTGTGGTCTTAGACCAGAGCAGATCAGGGGGGAAGGACTGGATTTCAGTGTTGTAACTTGATGTTCAACTGAATGTGCAATAGGGGCTATAATGTGATCATGCCCCCCCCCCCAATGCATGTACATACTGAGACTGTACTTATCTAATGTGTCAGTATTACTGTTTATCAGAGGCCTTCCATGTTTCATGTCATTTCATTTCAGTGGTTTGAATACCCAGAAATGTCCCCACATCCTCACCCTTAAGGTGTGATTAATGTCATATCGTTAGTTGACTGGTCAGAGTGAAATCTTCACTACACTGTTTGACTCTTGTGGTCTACTCATATCTAACAATAATATCCTTTAAAAGAGGCGTTTGGAGAAAGGGTTCCTCTTAAGGTGTTTGAATGAGGCCACACTGAGTTTGCTGAACAGCTGGAAATGTTTATTTTGTGTTTTGGAAAACCTCGTCTGTCCTGAGATAATTCTTTGATGAAGTCTTTTACAGAACTTTTTCTGTGAACATAAATTCTTGTCAAGATTACTGCATTAACTATGTGATCTTCATTAAAAAGAAGTGTTTCTTCTGAGTAATTTGCAAACACTGGTGCAATATATCATCACTGTCATCTCTGCTCTCTCTGACTTTTTCCCCCCTTTTTTGGGGGGACATGGTCAGATTTTAAACTCATTGCATTATCATAAAAAAAAGCATAGTTTCAGCCTAAATGTCTGCTTTTCTTAATATTTATTTCTTTGGAGGCAGGAGATGGCAATCATGTTGAATGCTGATATTTTTCACACTGTTTAAAACTGATACGAACAAAAAAGTGCAAGTCTTCCTTTTTATGTCTGTATTCTAATTTAGGTGGCGTCGACAATTGGGTGGGATCATTTTCACTTTCTTTCAGTTCCCCTTAAAGCTTAATGATAACCACAGCTTGTGTTTAAAAAGGCCTTATTCAAGTTTCACACTCAAATGTGCCTTGTTTGAAAGGGCGGCATCTCCATCCTTTACTTAGTTGGAAATAATTGACAGGAATTAGAAGCTTCTGGCTGTAATTTGCTGGGGTTTTTTTTATATGAAAATATGAAGGTTATGGATTTGACAACACTGAAATTAAAGTAGCACCATATTAGCAGAAAAAAAGTGTCCTTTGGAAAAAGATTTTTTTTTTTCTTCTAATACCTGAAAGATTAGATTAGTTTGTAAAATGCTCCACTGGGTATGTTTACACAGCAACAAGTTCTGCCCACAGATGCCTCTAAAAGTAAAAAAAAATAGGTCTCGAATCTGATGTGTTTTTGAAAAAAAAAAAAAAAGTTTAAAAACCTAGTTTCCCCTTCACACAGGGTGCTTTATGTGTTGTAGAGTCTACAATGTAGACCATTTATGTAACCAATGGGCTCAACTGGTCGCCTGTAACGGCCTGAACCGCAGTCTGACAGAAACGTCACGGAAAATGAGGAAATGTGGTTTTTGCATTTTCAGAACAAGGGTATCAGACTCATCTTTGCTCATAAGTGACTTACAGCTCAAGTGGGCCGCCTGCATCGCTGAAGCTTCTGACTAATTGTTCCCCTTTCTTTTTGTGAAGAGCAGTTTCAGTACATTCAGGTTATTGCTAATGATCTATTTATAAAACTGATGATGCGCAAACTGAAACATCTTTAAGAAAAACTGTTGTTTTTCCACATTCAGACTAATGATGATTCAGATGAACAATAACACTTTCATCATTGTTTATTCAGAACGTTTTGCTTACCGGTGCAAAAGAAAATGACAACCTAAAATTAATGTCTTCTTTGCAAATTTCACACTTGGAAAAGTTATGCAACAAGCCTGATTGGATCCTTTGGCAGGCTGGTTCTGGCCTGTGGACCATAAGTTTGACACCCTTGCTTTAAAAAGAGAGACGAAAAGTGTGTTTTAGTAAGTCTTACAAGTACTGCTACTTTAAATCCTGCAGAATTTCTAGAGCTTCTTGAAAAGAGTGGACATGATTTGGGTTTTTTTTTTTATTTGACTGTGTGAACCTGTGTAATTAATTTATAAATATATACATATATGTATGCCTCTGTGTGTGGTTCACTATGAAGAACCTTCTTTGTATCTCTGGAGGTCAATCAGAGCTTCTTTAATGGCTTTCACAGATAATGTGGAATCCACAGATAGCATCATTTGTATCTTTTGCTACTTGACAGTGAGTCGTGTATTTATTACCAGTTTTTTTACTGTGAAGTCAAGGCATGCATCTTTATATTGATAGTTCTAGGAGTGAAGCGCAGTCCTGCTGAGACACCATTTACATGCTGTTTGCTGCTCGGTGTTACTAAACATCCTGCTGGGTAGATTTTTTTTTTCAAAGAGACTACATTCTTTTACCACTCAGCTGCAGAAATATTTTATTAAATATTAGGTAAAATCTAGTTTATCTGCTCTTCCTTGTCTGCTGAATGAAGATAAATTAGTTTCATAATTTTATATAAGGAAAAAGGACAACATTTCTTTAAAAAAAAAAAGCAAAAACGTTGTCCCAGCAAAGAATAATCAAGTCCTAAAAGAATACAAAAAAGAACCAACTCATTCAAAAAAAGAAGAATTTTCTTTTTCAGCTCTTTATTAAATAAAAGCAGCTGCTTCCCTTTCTTCTGCTGTATAGGAAACATGTTCAGTAACTGTTTGGTTTATTTATTTATTTTTGCATTTGGCATTGAATGGATGTAGAAAAACAAAGTTCTTATTATATCAGGAGGAAACTGAGGAAGAACACGATGTCCTGGTTCTGCTCTACCTGTCCTCTTAGTTTCTCTGGTCCTGCAGTCATGTAGCATGAATCCCTCATCAAAGACTTGCTGTATTTTTGGGTTCTTGTATTTTTTGCCTTTGTGGAATGTCATCAACATGCCGACTTTGTAATAAAGGAAATCTTTAACTTTTATGAATTTATTTTTGTTGGTCTGAGGAAACTTTTTGGAACATGTTCTTTATTGGATTATTATAATTATTAGAGTTTACAACCTTATTACATGTTTTCACATGTGCATTTAGTAATGAGATGAATTTGTTTGGATGAGAGGCTATGAGTAGTTAATTACACTCACTGCTCACTTTGAGTATGCCTTGCTAGTACGTAGTTGGACACCCTTTTGCCTTCTGAGTTGCCCTAATTCATCATGTGATTCATAAGTTGCCAGAAACATCCCTCGGAGATTTTGGTCCATTTTCAGATGATGATATCGTACAGGTGGTGCCGCAAATCCATAACGTGAATCTCCCGTTCCACTACATACGGTGTTGAGCAACCATCAGAAGACAGGTACACATAACGTTCAACAATTTATTAATAATAATACTTAGACAGGCTGTAGTGTTTAAATGATGCTCAGTTGGTCATAGGCTAATAAATTATCCCCCACACTTTTCCGAACTGCATGATTGAGCCACATTCAAAGTTTCTTCCCCGTTGTGATGCTCAGTGTGAATGCAGACCATGTCTACATGCAGAGTTGCTGCCATGTGACTGAAGGATTTGATACCTGTGTTAAAGCTGAACAAGTGTACCCAATAAAGTGGTCAGTAAGTGCATAATCCCACTGCACTGCTTCTGTCAAGACACATTTCTCTATTTGCTTTCAAAAATATCCATTCAGTGTACATTATAAGTTAAAAAAAATCTTTATTTGAGATTGAAGAAAGAGCAGACAGAAATCCTGAACAGTCCTCTTAAGAAATTCATAACCTCTGAAGACAAACATGTTCACACTGAAGAAGAGAAAAACAACCACAAACACTCGCACGAATTTACATTTAAGGCACTTTTTCCCCTCAATCTGTTGGAAAGCAGCAATAAAACCAGAAATATGCTCACAAGATGGAAATCAAAAGCTTGAAAGAGTTCAGAGTAATGTTTAGTTTACATGAGGAATATTATTTTTAATTACAGTGAGCTGAAAGCAGGCTCTTAACAGCGGTGGAAATGTTATAAAAACACAAGCAGTATAGAGTTCAACAAGTGAGTTTACTGCTAGATGAGATGCTTACACATACTCCGGCCACATTAAGCCCATTTATGCACATCGGTTGCATGCATAATTTAAGTGTTGAGAATATATGTGGGGAAATCTATTAGGGGGGAAATGTTG